GTCTCTGTTGCCTTAAGTTTTTGCAACCCCCAATGTTTCAAGACTCTCTTGGCCATAGAGAATACCAAAAATAAACAGATTAAAACCATGCTTTTAATGATTGATCTTCATCTGTTCTTAAATTGAGATGAGCTTATGACTAAAACAGCAGAGACTATTCAGGCCTTCATCTAGAGCCTGCAAGCTACCTTTACTGACACATGCTACATCATCAGGCCTGGGCAGGAGCCCAGGGGAAGGTGTACCTACCTGAAGGAAGTGATAAAGTGACACAGTGCTGGAAGGTCTGATGAGGAAAGAGATGGAAGGCCTGTGTGGAAGGGTCCTATCTCAGTTCTCATGTGCAATTCTGTGTGCTGGAGTCTCGCTCCAGATTCTTAATAACTCAGGAGCCGTTATTACCTTTGGGCCTTTGTAATGGGATAGCAAGGACTCTGACTTATAAGTCCCCTTCTGAGAGCTAAGATCCCCAACACTAAGCCAGCAGGGCCCAGAAAGAATACTCCCCTGCCACAGGGAGCACCTTTGGCCCAGCACCAAGGGCGTGTCCTGGTTCCCATCCAATTTCCATTCATCTTCTCACCAGTCCCAACCCTCTTCCTCCAGGCTCTCCTCACTCTCTGTATATTCATCTGGTCTCCCACCAGAACAAGCCCAATGACACATAAACACACTGAGTTTGTACTTACTAAAGGCTCAGCTTGAGGGCGCCCCACAAATGCTTTGGATTACATTCTCATTAAAGTGAGAGAGGCTAAGGTGGCAAGTTGCCGAAGTGTTCCAGACATAGGCCAATCAGAGTCCCCAAGGGCAGGACTCACCTCTGGACAGCAGGAAGTCAGAGGATTAGGAAAAGCAGAAACCCTCTTTGGGGACTGGGGAGGGCTATGAGTTGCAGAGCTGAGATGTCATCACAGGGAAGAGGGCCAACACTAAGGAACTGCTGGTCTAGAGAGGACTGGGGTCTGGGCAGGCAGCTGTCACTCCCCTTCTGTGGACCACTCCATGCAGTACAGGAAGGTGATGGTTCTTAACTCCCATTGGCTAACTGCAGGCAATTTAAGGCTCTCTCTACCAGGGAAGCAAGGGTGTGACAAAGCTGCTTGGGGAGGGGTGTTTGCTGAAGGCTGGTGTCAGCCAGGCTTCATTTAAATCATCCCAGATTCCTTGCAAAGGCTATAAACAGTGGAGTGATGAAATAGCCTCTGGAGCCAAAACAGGGAGGAGGCCCCGTCACAAGGGAGAGCCAAGAAGCTCCACGAAGCAGCGGGAAGAAATGAGGAGCATGGACAGGAAGGAATTTGATATCTCTCTAAGGGGCTCAATGGGAGGATCTGAGCTGCCCCCCCCCCATAATGCAGTGTTCTGCAGAGCTGCTGGGAACTAGCAACCCTAGCTAGTTGCTGAGCTTTTGGTTAGGCAAGCACAGAACGGCCCAAAGAATTCTAGTCCACCTACCCCGAAGCTTTGGGGAAAGAGGTCACCCTGTAAGCTGCCTGGGCGAAGCATCCTTGTAAACTGCTGGCAGACTGGTGGGAGGGATCACAGCTCGAGCTGCAAAGCAGGGCTGAAAAGGTCGATTTCCCAGGATGCGTGTAAAAAGATGTGCTGTACCCCCACACACCACGCTGCTTGTCCCTGTTTCCCAGTCCCACTCTGCTCTTCTTCTTCACAGTGCCTACCAACCCCCCCAGCCCCCCCCACACCATCTCTTCATCCATCTATCAAATCCAGAGACGAATTTCTCTAATTTCTTTCACCGTATCCTTTTCAGACTACTCGTCCAGATGAATTAGGACAATGGAGGTGGGAATGCTTCTATATTCCATCTTCAGACTCCCTCACCTCAGAATTCCTCTGGAGGTGGGACTCTGCGTACTGGGGTCCTAAGATCTTCAGCAGTCTTCAGGGTTAGTCTTAGATCCACTACCAGAAAGCACAACAGAAACTCAATTCAGATGTTTCAAAGCACCCTTCTCTGAACCAGCCACTGTGCTAGACACAAGACCGCCTCTAGAACTTCCGCCGTGGACGTGAGAGCCGGCTGCTGAGATCCACAGAGGTGAATCCATGACCCTGGAGTACATGCAGCAAGGGGCGTACTTCAGTGTCAGTTGAAGTGTGACAGACCTGGGGGCTAAACCAAGGGGGTTTATGGCAGCGGATGGGATCTTCCTCAGTTCCTTTGTTAGGGAATTCGCTGAAGGAAAGACCCAGACTCAAGTAGTATGTAAAAGCAAAGGGGGTTTATTCTGCGGAGAATTCCAGCATGCTGTGGTCACCACCTTCACAAAATGGCCGCGACCCCGAGGGGGAGCTCGAAGGCCCCTTTTAAAGCTAGACGAATCCCTACTGTGGCTATGTGACCTCTTTTGGGATTGGCTGGTGCCCATGGAGGCTATGTGACTCTGGTTGGGGTTGGGATTGGCTGGCTCTCACCTTCCCCATGAGTCTGCTCAAGGTTGCCTCTGCTTCTCAAGTGTTCTCGCCCCCTGTATTGGCTTCTTTTCCCGTTGCTGTGACAAAATACTATGACAAAAGCAACTTAAGGGAGAGAGTTATTACTTTTGGCTCACAGTTAGAGGCACAGCTCATCATGAGGAGGAAGTCAAGCCAGTATGAGCTTGAATCAGCTGGCCTCGCCCACCCACAGTCAGGAAGCAGAGAGTAGTGAATGCTGGCTGCTCAGCTCCCTTTCTCCACATACACATTCCAGGATCCCAGCCCGGGAATGGAGCTGCTCACCAGAGACAGGTCTTCCCACCTTCCAAAATTCTAATCAAGATAATCGCTCCCTGCATTTGCCCAGCTGCTCATCCCCAGGTGATTATAGATTCTGCTACGCTGACAATGAACATTAAACATCACATCTAATTTTTTCAGCTGATCACAGAGGTTGTGGGGCAGCATTTAGGACGTGGGGTCAAAGGGACCAAAGGTTTACAAAACCCTAGAGGGCTGTTGATCACTATCATAGCCCTATGTCTCAACGTTTTGCCTGTTCAGTCTCTGTTCCTTCTCCTTTCTACCCTCTGATCTTGTAATTGCAGGAGAAATACCTCTCAGAACTCTGGAACCACTGTTCCTTATTCCCAGTGGTAGTATGTGGGCCAGGGAGGGAAGATGTTTGAGTCCAGACCTTGGCTTCTCCATTCGTATTGGGTGTGCAGCTAGTAACATTCTTAAATGCCTTTGGCCCTAAGTCTTTTTGACCATAAAAATGATACTTTAGGCTGTAAAATTTATAGGATTGTCATAACGATTGCCTTGAGGCCAGATCCCACACTTCACCACATTTCAAAAACAATGAAACAGAGGAAAACAAACCAGGAGTGGCTGCTTCCAGCACATTTTTAGGCTTTAAACTTTAAGTAAAAGGTAAATGACAAACACATTACCAAATGCATAGCTGAAGTTGAAAGAAAACAGAAATTTCCAAGGACCAAGGAAAACAAGCTTCAAAGAAGAGGAATTCTTGGAGAAGGAACAAGAGGAGGAGAATAGGGGAGACGGAAATGGGGGTGACATTTAAACTAGGAGCTCAAGCCAAGGAGGAAACAAATATAGAGTTGGTTGAGTAACAGTACCACGGGCATGGAATCTGCTATGTGTTAAGAGTCCTACAGCAAAGCCTGGACCCCAGAAGCTCTCTCTCCTCAGTGCTGCTGTTACTGTGTTTCACCTTGGGACGGTCCAAGACCTTTCTGAGTGGTCATGGCCCTCACTCTGATTGGTCGGTGCCAGGCATACCTGTCAGTGAAGATTATAACTTATACCTCAGCTGGTTCCTCTAAAAATGGGGAAGGAGAGGAACAGGAGGCTGAGGAAAGAGAGTCATTTGGCAGAGAGCTGATCAGAAAATCTGGCATCTCCAGAGTCCAGGTAGAAGTTACAGGGTGTCTGTGTGTGTGTGTGTGTGTGTGTGTGTGTGTGTGTGTGTGTGTGTCTATTGTTAAGACACATAAGCAGAACTTTCTCTTGAGAAGCCCACAGTCACACATGGGCTTCTGTATGAAGAATGTTCTTTTCTTCCTGAGTGTCTCTCTATTGATGACCAGACCTGAATCTTTGTTAAAATCTCATCTTGGTGAACTCTAAATTTTCATTAAAAAAAAAAAAAACTATGCTAGTTATGACATGTGTGTGCATGCACACACACATAGACCAAATGAATAAAATCATTTATTTATTTAAGTAAATTGACTTACTTAAGTAAATAAAGCTATTTTTTTAAAGGGGGAAGTCAAAGATGCCTCTCCTTAGGATCCACCCTTGGCTTTCATCCCCATTTCCCAAAGCAAAGTCCCAGTTGGCCCCACAGCTCACCCTGCCTCTTTATTAAAGGACCTTCCTCATTTTTTTCCCCAGGAAGGAGAGATGGGAGGCGTGGGGAAGGAGAACAGTTTACTCAATAATGAGACACATCCTTTTGGGTCTTACTTAGGAATCACCTGACCCTGGACCCCTTCTCCTCCATGCTCCCTTTGACACCTTGTAGGTCTCCAATGAGGTCCAGGAGATAGAATGCACTCATCTTCTATCTGCTCACCTCTTGATTCCTGCTTCCTCCTTCCCAGCTAGGCTGGACACAGTCATGGAGCCCATGCAGTGTCAGTTTCAGATTTGTGCCTGAAGCAGGGAAATTCTGCTTCTGCCCCACATGCCGGATCAATCAACACATTCTTACGTTTCTTTGTTCTACTCCCAGGGGTCTGGGAGAGGTACAGACTGGCCTGTGTCTTCCTAGCTTGTGGGAGATGGGCACATCTCTTTACCATATGGGTGGATACCTCAGTAACTTGACCTTCTAAAGCTTACCTCTATACCCCACCCCCCATTTCTCATCTTCATCAAGTCACCTGGGGCTCAGGTGTACCGGACTAGACCTAGGAAAGGGGTGAGCATGGGGTATGAACCTTGATACCAAACAGAAAGCTGGAAAGGGAAGGGCATGTCTTGGGGTCAAGGTGTGGGGTCCTACCTAACTGGTTTCATTGCAGTGAGATCAGCTGGCAGTGACAGGGATGTACTGTGTGTCACTGAAGAGGAACTGGCTGGTGAAGAAGAGGACATGCCATCCTTCCCATGCAGCCAACAGGGTAAGTGCTCAGGGAACCCCTATCTCCTCTGTGAGCCGAGAGCTCCCTGCCTTCATCTCTAGACTGGTCAACAATGTGTTCAAATGTGTGGCTTCAGAATTCCTGCTCTCATTTTCCTACTGTCCCTTGGAGGGTGATGGGCAGAGCTGGGTAGCCTGGGGCTATGTAATATGGATGAAATCAGCATTGCTCATAAGTGTCATGTGCTTCCTGGGCTCCACCTAAGCCCTGGCAGGAACCCCTGCCATCTCCCTTAGCCACACACTGTACCCAGCGTCTGTATTCGGCCTTGTTGATCATGCTATTTGAGTTGCTGGTTGGACCAGGGCTCTCAGTGACATTTGGTATAGATATAGCTTGTGTTCTTTACCTTGACTGGACACTGTGTTCTCCAGGGATGCCCCAGGCCTGCCTTTGGTATTGTGGATTTATTCCAGTGTGCCATGTGGAGCAGGCACTAGGTTTTTAATTGCTGCTGGTACTCATCATATGCAGCTAAGCTGAGCTCCCCTTGGGGGCCATCCTTCATTTTCAGAGGGCACTGGTCACCTCCCAGAGTTCCCAGGAACTCCTCCCTCTTCTTTCCACACAGCAACCTGACCAGTGGATTTTAACGCCTTGTTTGGTTTCTAGGAGAACCACAGTTTATTTACCCAGAAGGTCATGGGCAAACTTGGTTGTTTGAACACATGCTAGAGCATTGCACTGGGCAGCAGGGTGAGCAGGCTGTTGGGATTGTGAATCATTAGTAAGGCCAGCATAGAGAGAAAAGTTGTCTTCGTGCTCTGTGGGCTAAATGAAGATACTGCTGAGAAAGAATGACTGGTAAGGAGGAGGAGGAAGGGTGGCCTCTGTCTCCTATATTCCAGAATGTTCTATAAGTTCAGCCTAAGCAGCAGAACAAGCACGGAATAAAAGCAGAAAGTTCTATCTGTCCTGCTTTGAAAAGCAATGAGGCAGGCCAGACAAGGAACGTGAAATTGAGCATGGCACTCCCGCCTCCATCACTGGCCCAAGCCATGGCCATCTTCTTGTTCTCCACAGGCCGGCCAGGACCCCGCTGCACCCGCTGCCAGAAGAACCTGTCTTTGCACACATCAGTGCGGATTCTGTACCTCTTCCTGGCTTTGCTCCTGGTGGCCGTGGCTGTGCTGGCCTCTCTGGGTGAGTTCAGTGTACCCTGGTGCTGGCTCAAGGGGAATGGCTGATTAGGTTTCTACACGAACAACACCCTAGGGAGAAAAACACTGCACATCTGTCACCCAGACTAGCATCTTCCTGGCTTGAAGATGGTGGTGGTGGTGCGTGTCTTTAACCCCAGAACTCAGGAGGCAGAGGATGGTGGATCTCTGAGTTCGAGGCCAACCTATTCTACAGAGCAAGCTCCAGAACAGCCAGGGCTACACAAAGAAACCCTATCTCAAAAAACCAAACCAAACAAACAAAAGAGTTAGCTGTAGGGCGTTGAGTAGAAGAAAAAACCAGATGAGTTTGACAGGTCAGTAATAGAATCATGTGGGAGTTTTTAGAACTGCTGATGTTCGCCCCCACCACCACCCCTATTCCCAGGGTAATAGAGTGAATACTGTAACATTCAGCTCTCCAGGTGAATCTGTTGTGTAACCCTCAGTTGTGTCCACTGGATCAGATGGCATCTAAGACCTGCCATCATCTCCCTGTGTGTTGTTCAAGATAAGACTGGGTACCAAATGCATCGAGATTGCATTCAGTATTCATTAAAATCTAAATCCCCAGGGCCTTACTAAGACCTGCAAAATCAGATTCCTACAGGTGAGGCCAGAAGACGTGAGTTTTGGTGCCTCTCATCCACACTGCAGTCGGTATGATCGTGGTGCTGGTGCATGGTAGATCATACCTTCTAGAGTCTAAGAGTTTCACGTAAATTGTCTAAAATCGGTTTGGTCACATTCATAGTAAAAGCCATTTGATCCAGCCTGCTTGATGCTAGAGACAAGGCTGGGAGCAGAGAGAAGCAATGGAGGCCCGAGTGAACTTCACCCAGGGTACTGACACTAAGAGTGAACCCCTTCTTGGAAAGGCACATGATCCTGCTTCTATATGAGGATTATTTGGGTATCAACACCCCTGGCTGTATTAGTCATGGTTCTTTTTGCTATGACAAGAAGCAACTGAAGGGCAGGAGGATTCATTTTTGGCTTATCACTTGAGAACAGTCCATCATGGCAGGTGAGGCTTTGTAGCAGGAGGAGAGGGCAAGCTGCATTGCCTCTTCAGTCAGGGCCCATCAATAAATCTCAAGGCTCATTCCCAGTGACCCACTGCCTCCACCTCTAAAAGGTGTGCCTTCCAAAACAGCACCACAGCTGCAGACCAAGCGTTCAAAGACATGAGCCAATAGGACTATAACAAGATGAGAAGGCAGAGTAAATAAAGGAAATGTCCAAAGAAACAAATGACTATATAATGACAGAATGTGACATATACAGTGAGTAGAGAGAATTGCATGCAATGACCCTTTGGCTGGTGGCCCAGGAGTAGACTTTATGAATCCTTAAAGTCAAAATGGCAATCATCAAGCCTCCCTATTTCTTTTCCTTTATCTATATATGGGCTCTTAAGTGAGAAAAGGCTCAAACAAAATAACTATCACCAACTGGAAAGTGCTACTCCAACTCGACAGGCTCTCCCAAACATGTGACTGATACTAATAAAGCTGATCTCTTGACAGAGCTGAGATATTCAGTGTTCAGTAGAGCCTGGATATCCTAAATTGCTTGAAAGCAAAATGGTTTTGAGGTGCTAAGAACTTTAGAAGTCGCTGCCGTCATGTTTTCATTTTGTTGATGGCTGTTCATTCTGGAAAGGTTCATTGACCTGTCAAAGTCACCCAACAGATTTTATATCAATCAGAATCTAGAAGCTGAGTTGCTTTGGGTGATTACAACTGCATTCTGCCAGATATGTCCTTCAGAGGCTCATCAGGCCAACCAGTGCCCTCTTACCACTGCCAGGGCCATCCATGCTACTGATGGATAAGTCCAGCTACCCTGCTTTTGCTGCATGCATGCTCTAAATCCTGTTGACACAACAGCTTTTGTAGGACCCTGAGCTGAACTGAACTAAAAGGTAGCATGAGCTTCTCTAGAGAATACCTTGTACCAAGAATTTGTACAAACCGAAGGGTTGTACCCCAAGCATTTATCCTAAGGAAAAATATCATGTCCTTACAACCAGCACAGATATGGGTTATTAGGCCTAAGATGGAGCACTGGTCATAATCTGCCTGTCAGACTTTCTGTATCTGTAGTGAATACACACACTGAAATATTTTAAAAAGAAAAAAAAAAACTTTATAAAACTTTTTTTTTTTAAGTTTGAAAAAAATTCTCGAAGAAAGAATGAGAAGGTGGTAAGAAGGAGAAAAACGCCCGTAATGCCATACTTATAAAAGCTGAATAAGAGAAAATAGATGGGATGGTCAAAATAACACAGTTTTGCCTTTTATTTTCTAAAGCATATATCTATGGGACTGTTGAGTGGGCATCCGTGGGCACATGACTAGAAGAAATACATAGTTGAAGGTAGTGATGGTGGTGAGTGCTCTCTGGGTGATGGAATAACTTTATCTGTATGTTTGTGAATTTTTACTATCCTAACTTACAAGGAGCTCTTGATTCTAAATCCCGGATTGGGGGGGTGAATTATCCTGTGAAGGAACATGTGCGGAACTCAGGCAGTAAGACACATCCTTGTTTGGCCATTGGGAAGCCTTTCTCCTGGGAGAAGCAAGAATGGTTTCGTTTTCAGACTCATGAAAATAATCTCACCAATGATCTGAACTACTTCTGAACTGTGACCCCAGCCCGGTGTCTCTTCTATTTCCTCAGTGTTTAGAAAGGTGGACTCTCTCTCAGAAGACATCTCCTTGGCCCAGTCCATCTATAATAAGAAGCTTGTGTCAATGCAAGAAAACCTTCAAGGATTGGGTAAGATTTTAGTGTCCAGAAGCACAAAGGACCCTCTATCCCTGTTATCTAGGGATGGACAGGTACTCCCTGCTTCCTAAGATAAGACCAGCTGATGATCCCTGCTTCCCTCTAAGGAGGGCTGGGATGCTGGGATGCTGCACGGACTAGGGCAGACTTTCCTATATGGGCTGTTGATCTATCCAGAGACCATATGCAGAGAAGGGAAGCAAGGATAGTCCATTCTTAAAATAGCCTCCTGCATCCCAAATGGCTTGTAAGGCCCTGCAAAGCCTCCTGTATAAGCCCATTTTCAGTTACTGCCTTAAGTCACATCACAAATCACCATGGTCTAGCTTCTGCTCCAATCAGGAACATCCCAAGACAGAGTGAGTCAGAAGGAGCCATGGCAGATGTGGATTAGAAGGCCATTTTCTCTGTTGCAAATAGAAAGTGCTGGCCTGACACCTAATAACAGAGTTCTACTTGGCAAGCCTTATTCCTCAGGAGTCACAAAGAAAAAAAAAAAAACTTCTCAGGGTCACCTTCCCCACAAGTATATTATGAGATATCAACCAAAACAACAGATATTAAAATGTGTGGAGGTTTTTTTTTTTAGTGAAGTGTACAATGAAATGAGGCTCTTGGCCACCTCAGAACAGTTAGTTTCTAAAATCTGTTCTTTAGAATGCAGTGGTACTGTGGGATAAATATCTGAAATCTTGCACTTCAGATTGCAGAGTAAAGGTGGAATTCCACAGAGATGGTGAGGCTTTTCTGTGAGGGATTTCTCATAGGAGGAAAGGAAGCAGAGTCCAGAAGCCACTTGGCAGTTCCCTGTGTCTGCATTCCCAGAAGTACCTCTGGGGCTAGGGAGATAATGTAGCCATCCAAGCACTGTGACCTGAGTTTAATCCCAAGCACCCTAGTGGAAAAGGTGTGTGGGGGAGCACAAACTTGTAGTCCCAGTGCCAGGGTGGCAGGAACGGGTGAATTCTTGGAGTTCAGTTGTCAGAAAGCCTAGACTGATTGACAAGCTCCAGACCAGAGAGAGGATCTATCTCAAAAATCAAGATAGCCAGCACCCAAGGAACAACACCTAAGTTGTCTCAGACCTCCACACAAGAGGGCTCATGCCTGCATACAAATAAACACGTACACACGCGCGCGCGCACACACACACAAAAGACACCTGTGTCCCATTTAACTGAAAATGTCCCCTTTTCTCCTGAAGACCCAAAAGCCCTGAGCAATTGCTCTTTTTGCCGTGAGGCTGGGCAGCTGGGGCAAGAGATCAGGAAGCTCCAGGAGGAGCTGGAGGGGCTTCAGAAGATGCTGCTGGCCCAGGAGGTCCAGCTGGATCAGACCTCCCAGGCCCAAGAGCTGCTCACCAACACAAGCAGTCAAATCTCCCAGGAGATGGGCAGTTGTTCCTTCTCCATTCACCAGGTCAATCAGTCGCTGGGATTCTTCCTGGCCCAGGTGAGGGGCTGGCAGGCCACCACAGCAGGCATGGACATCACTGTGAAGGACCTCACCCAGGAGTGCTACGATGTCAAGGCTGCCGTAAACCAGATCAACTTCACAGTGGGCCAGACAGCTGAGTGGATCCATGGGATCCAGAGGAAAACAGACGAGGAGACCCTGACCCTGCAGAAGATAGTCACTGACTGGCAGAACTATACCAGGCTCTTTGGAGGTCTGCGAAGCACCTCTGCCAAGACTGGAGAAATGGTCAAGACCATCCAGGCCACCCTGGGGGCCTCCTCGCAGCGCATTAGCCAGAACTCCGAGAGCATGCATGACCTGGTGTTGCAGGTCATGGGCCTGCAGCTACAGCTGGATAATATCTCCTCCTTCTTGGATGACCATGAGGAGAACATGCATGACCTCCAATACCACACCCGATATGCCCAGAACCGCACCGTGGAGAGGTTCGAGTCCCTGGAAGGACGCATGACTTCTCACGAGATTGAAATCGGTACCATCTTCACCAATATCAATGCCACCGACAACCACGTGCACAGCATGCTCAAGTACCTGGATGACGTGCGGCTGTCCTGCACACTGGGCTTCCACACCCATGCTGAGGAACTCTACTACCTGAATAAGTCCGTCTCCCTCATGCTGGGCACCACGGATCTGCTCAGGGAGCGCTTCAGTCTGCTCAGTGCTCAGCTGGACTTCAATGTCCGGAACCTCTCCATGATCATGGAGGAGATGAAGGCTGTGGACACACAGCATGGAGAAATCCTTCGCAATGTCACCATCATTCGAGGTAAGAGGAGGGTGGACGGGCCTCTCCAGGGACTCTGGGTTGTTGCTGTCTACAGGAGCACATGATTTTAGGGAAATTCTCCAACAATGTGTACATAGAGGATGCTAGCTGGAAGACGCTAGGTGTCAAAATAGATTGCCAAAATCATCAAGTAATCAATTCCCAGGGCAGCAGGCAACTTTCAGAAGTGTCTTTGAGGGCCTAGAGAGTGGTTAGGCACATGCTTGCAAGTAGGTACACACACGAATAAAAACAATTCAATGTTTGAACATTTTTGCCTTTGAGAGTTAGGCTTAGTGGTGCACACCTGTAATCCCAAAACTCAGGAGGCTGAGGCAGGAGAATTAACATGGACTCCAGGCCAGCTTGGGCTACACCCTGAGTCTCAGAGACATTGAGTGAAACCTCATCTCAACAAAAGGAGCAAATGAAAGAAGGAGGGAAGGAGGGAGAGAGGGAGATTCTTGAAAGCCTCTTGGTGAAGGTGATACAGTTTCTAGCTTTGCTTTTCAAAGAAAATTCTATCTTATGCCTGGCTTTCTTTTAGTCCCTCATAGCAAGTTTGTAGACCTTGTCCTTTTGAAACCACCTATGCTCACTTTTTCCCTTTCTGCCTCCTCATTAATGAGGAAAATTAATTAATTTTGCCTGTCAGACTATCTGTCCTTCAGAGACCAATCAACCTAATGTATTCTTCTCCTATATTTCCCTAAGGTCCTTTATGGATTAGAATTCTATGGGAAAAGAAACCAGAACTAGAAGAGTAAAGGCAGATAAATAAGCCAAGGAATGGATAGATAGATAGATAGATAGATAGATAGATAGATAGATAGATAATCATAAGGAATTGGTTTGTGTGACTATGTAGACAGGAAAGTCTGAGATCTGTAGAGATAATGCCCCTGATGGGAAGAATATCAGACATGAAGAATTCTCTTATTCAGGGGAGGGTGAGCTCTATGTTTTGTCCTGGCCTTCAAACATTTAGATGAGGCTAGCACCGCATTAGAGAGGGTAATCCTTTTTGTTCAGTCTAACAATCCACATGTCAGCCTCAACAACAATCACCCTCACAGAAACACTCAGAGTGAAGCTTGATCAAGTATCTAGGCACCTCGTGGTCCCTTAAAATTGCTACGTAAAATTAATCATCATAAATCTACCCCTTGTCAACTTGTTACCTACACACACTTCCTTAGTTCAATACTCTTAATCTCCAAATGAAGTTGATAATGAGGCTTTGTTTAGAGCTATCATGATACAATTAATTATCCCGTGTAAAATTAAAAGCACACCAACACGTTCCACAAAAGGAGGGCTATAGAACAATTTTCACTCTCCTCGTATCTCAGAACTCAAACCCTATAAGGTCAATGCAGTCAACGTGTCCCGTGTTTTAACAGATAGATGACAAAGGACTGAGAGAGGAGAGGAAACGAAACTTTTGTTACACACACACAAATCAGGTCAGGAAAACATTTTCTTGTGGCGATGCAGTCCTTATTTTTGTAATCAATCTGATGGTCGTAGTTAGGATTTACAACACTTTCTTCCACTTCCTGTTCCAAATTCCCCTTGTTCTCAGCTGGCATTCCTATGGATCATGGCTGCTTGGGGTAGGATGATCAGAAAGTTTCATTTCTGAAGGTTCCAGACCATTGACATTCGTGCCTAGATTGGGTGCAAAAGTTTCCTAAGGACCTTAGTCACATGAGAAGGGTCAGCATCTCTCTTCCTTCTTCCCTTGCTCTTGACCTAGAGTCAGAGGAAGCCTTGAGTATCCATTTGATGGTCTTAATTTCTTGCTTAACTGAGTCACCACTGTGTCTTTACTGAAGGCATTTGTCCTTTTGGGTCTTCTAAACTAGCTAAACACAAAGCAGAAACAGTATGCACACATTTTTCTGGTGAGTCACTAGGCAAAACTGTGAACTGTGCCTTCCTATGATCTTCATTTGATTCCAAAACCTTGATGAAGATTATGTCTTCCAGGCCCTCATGGCATGAAAGGGAGCTTGAAGCCCGCTCTGTCTCTTTCAGCCTTTGTATCCTCTATAGTATTCAAGGCAGGAACCCTTTCCAGCTCATTTACCAGGGCCACCTTTGGTCTTGGAAACTACCTCAGTGATGGTCTGCCTCCTCTTTGGCCAACTAGTCCTGAGCCTATGCTGGCTTCACTTGATGTCACAATGTGTTCTTGGTACCACTAGAGATGAGTTTTTCCCCCTTTAGACTGATCAGGTCAGGGAGGAGGGTCCTATTTGCTTGTTGCTATGCTTTATTTTTGCAATGAAGCTAGACAATGATAATTTCTATGGCAATCAAACCCTCCCCACCATATTTCACCAAAAATACACATCTGTGTGGCTTCTAGGGTGCTGTGCTACAGTGAAGAACATTAGGAGATGGTTCTTATGGTCCATACTCTGCCAGTTGTGTGGTGATGTTGAATTCACTCTAGGAACAGAGGAAATTCTGAGCTTCCCAGGAGACAGCCCATTTATACACACTGATTTGTGGCGCCTCATAAAAAGCCTTGGGAAGAAGCCCCCCACTTATCAGCAGTTCCACCTTCCATGCTTTTGACTACTCATGGTCAACCACAGTCTGAAAACACTAAGCAGCAAACTGCATACTTTAAGAGAGATACGCTTTCCTCAAAGGCGTATATATATGGAGACAGAGTGTGTGTGTGTCTGGGGTCTGCAACTGCTCATGATTTCACACATCCACTGGAACCCTGGGGCATATTCTCTGCAGAAGGGGGGGGGGCTTTGGAGGTAGAAAACATAGATAGTTGGTTGGTTGACTCTGCCTTATAAAAAGGTATCCTAAGACAAGAGTATAGTTAAGCCACGTGTGCACGTCACAAGAGACTGAAAATCCTGGGAGCTAGAGAAATGGCTTAGTGGGTAGAGGGCTCGCTGCACAGATGTGAGGGCCTGGATTCCATTTCTAGTATTCACATAAAAGCCAGGAGCATTGGAGTATCCAGCACTGTCATCCCACCACTGGGAAGGTGGAAAGGAGAGGACGCCCTGGCCCACTGGACAGCCAGTCTACCTAACAGGATGAGCTCCAGGTCCAGCGAAAGACCCTATTTCCAAAACATATGCTGGAGATCAGTCGAGAAAGACACCTGACATTGGCCTCTGGATGATGATGTGTACCTATGTGCGCACACACACACACATACACACACACACACACACACACACACACACACACACACACACGGTACCCTACTTCAGTTCTTCAAAGATGTGTCCGCTGTTCACTCAGCAAAGGAGATGCCCAGTGCATGAGCTTGCAGGCACCTTAGACATTTCTACCTGGGTCCTGCTTCACTACAGGGCAAGGGATGGAGAATGGAGGAGACAGGGAAATGGTACCCAGAGGAATTCTTGGAGACTGGCATTTGCTGCCGCCTTGCTCGTGGCAGAGGTCTCATCCCAAAACTTCACCTTCAGCATGGTGTGACTTCCGTTCAAGTACAGGGGACCCTCAGTTCAACATCTTCATGTTTCTGCTGCCCCCCGGGCTCATTTTCTCTTCGATATAGATTGGTGAGGTGGGGTAGGGGAGAACATGTTTAATTGCTGCTTTATTGTGTGTTTATGCACCAAAGCCAGGTACTGAGTATTTCCACGGGAACCGAAAGCCTTCACTGAGAAGGTGTGTGCATGTGTGTGGCCTCTAAGGTGCAATTTTACATTCTGTCTGTTGGCGAGCTTTCCTCCTGATCTTTAAGTCATCCCATGCTCCCCTTCTCCTATCTGAAAGAAGAGTTCCAGGTAGATTGAACACCCCCCCCCCGACACACACACACAGGGAAGTCATCACTCACCCTCAGACATGCTCTGAGGCTCTGACCCTGGAGATGTCGGTGAAGGATTGCTCTGCTGATGTAGAACTGATAGATAGAAGAACCCAAGTAGGGAGATGCCAGTAACACAGGCAGTGAGGGGATGCCAAGCTCCTACTGAAGGGAAGGAGGCTGGGTTATAATTACTCTGGGACTTTAGGCAAAATTGCTTCGTCTCTCCATCTGTGCTCTGTCATCTATAAATGAAGGGGTAGGACCAGCCCCTTCCAGCTCTAATTCCAAGCCTCCACTTACTACACAGAAACCCTGTGGTGCCTCCATGCTGGCTACACCTCTCCTAGAATCTTTATCTTTTCCTAGTCTCTAGGATAATTTTTATGTCTGTGCTAGACAGTGTCTCTGCTAGGACTATCCTTTAGGAGTTAGAGACAAAAAAAAAAAAATCCACCACTCATTAGCTGAGTGATGGGTAGGTCTCTTCATCACTTTCAACTCTATCTCCTCACCTACTGTGTCCTACTTTAATTTCTGTTGCAACTTCGGAGGGAAAAGATTTATTCAGCTTTCAACTCCAGATTACAGCCCATCACTGAGGGGAAGTCAAGGCAGGAACTCGGGCAGTTAGTCACATGCCCATCAACAGTAAGAGCAAAGAGAAGTGAACCCATGCAGGCCCACTTGCTTGGTGGCTTGCCCACCCTCAGCTAGGTTTCTCTGTTCAGGATACTCTTGCTTAGGGAATGGTGCTGCCCACAAGAGACTGTACCTTCCTACATCAATTAACAATCAAAACACGCCCCCAGAACAACCTGATCTCGGTAATTCTTGATTAAAAACCTCTCTTCACGGGCAGTTCAAAGTTGTGTCAAGTTTAAAATTAAAACTAACCAGCACAAACAAGATCATTAATACCTTCCCTGTCTATACCACATAAGAGTAGTTGTAAGGATCAGTGGCAACAATAATATGAACCTAAAAACTGTATGTTAATATAAAGCAGAAGGCTTTTTTTTAATGGTTTTCTAAGACAGGGTTTCTCTATGTAACTGCCCTGCCTGTCCTGGAACTTTCTTTGTAGGCTGGGCTGGCCTCGAACTCACAGAGATCCGACTGCCTCTGCCTCCCAAGTGCTGAGATTAAAGGTGTGTGCCACCATACCCCGCTTATCATAAGG